ACCATCTCTTCTATAGCATGTTCACAGTCTCCGACAATCTCCTATATCATATCTACATTCTCTGTTTATCTCCTGTAGCATACCTTCTGTATGCATGCTCAAAGTCTCTGACCATCTCCAGTTAAATGTCTGCAGTCTCTTTTCTGTAACATTACATTTACTGAATATAATGTGCAGCCTAGCTACTACTGCTCTGAAGTAAGGAGACATCTCCTCTTAGGGCTCGTTCACACCATGTCCGAACCAGATCTGGGTGCATTTCTGCAAATGCGGTGCAGTGCTTTTTTTAAAATGTATTTTTGATGTGTTTTTGATGCATTCCAGTGTAAAATAGTGCATGCAGCATTTTTTTTCTCCTCACCGAAATGGACAGCACTGGTGTTAAAGGAGTCCAGAAATACAGTAGGAATATATTGAGATACATTTCAACTGCAGACAAGAAAATGTCTGGTCTGGACATGAACAAGCCCTCAGACAGCTGCCACAATGACAGGTGTCCCCATTGGATCATATGCCCTCACCTTTTGTTCTAATTGCTTATCACTTTTACTTTCTGCATTGGAGAAAAAGATCACCAGGTTAGTGAAGTGGGACACTCCCTACAGACAGCAGTAGGTTCTAACGCGTCCACGTAGTTAGCCAAACAGAGCAAGAGGAATGGGCCACTGGGAATACTGATCCCACTAGTCTCTTTCTTAGTGAGGTTTCTGATCTAAATTTATATCTAGTACAGGTTTGGGAAAACAGATGGACCTTTGAATTGACCTTTGAATGTGACTCATAGCTCACTCAAGACTATGGACTACCCATATGAAAGCCCTGATTGGCCCAGAAATGTGACATGCAGCAAGCAACATGTTTCTCTATACCTTGCAGTACTGGGTATTTCATTTGACTCCTGCCACTGAATGGAGTTGAAGGGGAATAAAGGAAAGGTAAGTATATAGTGCTGTGAATGGGCAAAGCACAGGTTTGCTTTAAATTGCAATTGAACCCTCAAGATTTATTACTGTAATGCAGCCATAAGTAACTCTTTTTTTAACTGGTAAGTGCTGCAACAAGGGTTAAAAAAATACCTTGTGCTGCACCAATCCAGAGATTCAGGCCATTGCTTTCTCACATAAAGCAGCTGCCTGGCTCACCGGCAGTTCTCTAAACAAGAGTTCAAGTAGACTCAATCCTTCGAGCAGTGCTGTGCCAATCAAGAAGCCCCAACACTGTCACACGGTGAGTCCATATCCCTGTGTATCCTGTGTTTTGTGTGACTCCTAGCATACACAGGGTGGTTTCTCCTGCTCCTGGCAGCTGGCTGGAGGAACAAAGGAAAGGTGAGTATGTTTTGCTAAAAAGAGAGAGGATTAAACCAAACCTGTAGCTTGCCATGCAGGGGAAAAACGCTGAATCACGTAAGCTGATGAAAGCCTTCATTTTGAGGCAATATCACATTGGTTTTGACAAACCCCTCCTATTTTTCAGAATACAAGTTTATTTGTAAACAGTGTATCAAAAATATATTTTTCTCACTTCATCCTTGTCATAGTTTTCACTGGCTTCATTAGAGGCTCTAACAGATCTTCAGGCATGCCGAAATTGCGGAGAGCTAAGAGAGTGACACCTTGGAGTGGACCAGCACCTGTAAGCCAAAAGCTGTTCCACAAGCACAATCTGACCTTTGTGTTGGTCAAGTATTTGCTTTATAAATAGGTGTAAAAATGACCAGCAACATGGGGTACCAACATAACTCAGCATAATGAAATACATTTTGCTTTGGATCTTACAACCAGGCCCCTTAATTGATGCTTAGAAAAGAAAATAAAGGAACACACACACAAATGTTTTACAGAAGAACTTTGGCCAGGACAAACATCACTGGTAAACTTAAACATCTGGTTACGTGCTCATGGTATTTTCTTAATGTTTTTTTCAATGAGCTCAAGATGCATCTGTACCGAAGGTTAAAGTGGACCTTGAACATATTACATAGTCCCACCCGCCTTTTCGTATTGCTGCATTAAAGCTGTTAAAACACCTATGGAAAAAGTTAGAAAATATACTTACCTTACTCAACTTCTCTCCACTTCTTAACCCAACTTCTGTCCACAGCAACCTTCTCATGGGAGTCTGGTAATAATGAGGATCCCAATTCTCACGTTAAGATGATCCTGCACTGTGCTGTAGCATCTCCTCAGGAGATATGGGATATCCGACAGTCCCAGGATCTCACTGAAGTATCAAGATGGTACCCTCTCCAGTACGGAAGCAGGAGGTAAGTACTAAAAGTATATTTTCCAACTATGTTTTCTACAGGTTTATGGCCACAATGTGAAATGAGTGTGTGGGGGTGGTGGTGGGGTTACTATCAAATAAGTAGACTTTGCCTTTTAATACAAGGCTAAATTGAGAAGAAAATCAACAATACAGAGTTAGTCCTGGAGTAAAAAAGAAAATAGGCGAAAGGACTGCATGACAGGGTGGACAGGGAACTGAGAAGTACAGGGTTACAGGTTAATGTTACAGGGGGGTGGAGGTCACTTACCTGATTGGCTGGATTTAGGAGATGAAGGAGGGGTCTCTCTCGAGCGAACTTCCCACCCATCTGCCCCTTTTTTCCTATTTCTGTTCATATTTGTGTTTGACAGTATATGTTCTGAGGTTCTGTGCTGGCAGTGTACTTGGTGGGGTTTTTTTCTGTTGCAGTGAGGACTTGTCTCCGCTGCGTGTTCCTTGGCTTTGGCGGATTCATCAGTAAAAAGGTACAATACTTATCTTTACAAGGTCTCTGCAGTTAGTCATATTTAGTCCCTGAGTTGGTGTGTTGCGGCTAAGGACCAGTGTTTTAAGTGGTTTGCAGAGACCGACAATGTCAGTGTAAAAGGTGCCTTCACAGACCTCCAGATATATTTAGATATTTATATATTGATTGTTTTGTTATAAGTTATTGTTATATATAATCCTATTTTACTTGAACATTTTGTAATAAAACTGCTGCTACAGCCATTTAACTCAAATCCCGTGTGTAGCCTCTTATTTGGGAGGTGGGGATTCTTGGGGAGGTGGCGTAGCAGTGGGTACATTTTTTGGGTTAGAAATTGAAGAGTGACTATGTGCTACCCTGTTATGCAATTGTGTCGTTTTCTGACACAGTATTTTGGGTGATGGTTAGGTCCAAAAAGCCTACTAGAATCTTTTCATCAAAAGCAGACTTAATGGTCAAAAAGTAACTCATAATTAATTTAGTATAATTATTATGGTTTTGTTTGTCTAGAGTTCTCCTTAACTATTCTTTTCTACAGTTTTAGTTCGGAGTGCTGTCGTTATCTATTTTCGGGCACAGAAAAAATGTCCCTTCCAAGAATAGCTTGCATGTTCAAAATGAAACTACCATAATTATCTACCAAAAAAAAAAAATCCAGGGTAGAGAAATAAAAAGTTTTAAAAATATGTTAGATTGGGGAAATAATCAAATTAGCTAAATATTTACAGTTATGCAATAGAAAAATTAATTGTGCAGACTACAGCTTACCACATGTAAATATTGAGCAGACCACAACAGATTACCTTCAGCAGATTGAACAAGCACGTAAAATAAGAATCTGCTTTTCTTCCCCAGAAAAGAACATTTACCGTAAGTTGATTATTTAATTGCTTGATGAGAAGGCCAATCGTTCTAGAGCACCATTTTATTTTTGCCTTGCTGAAATTGGGGGAATGGCAGAAGCTTTGTCAATTTTGTCAATAGCTGCAAAAGGGACAAATTAGAAGACACT